TATTATGTATGATATATATTATGTATATTGTATTTCTACATTAAAGTAAAAACAGAGCATCGTTCAGTCATTTCTTGTTTTATCCTTCACACGTGCATTTTTTCTCCTCCACTTTTCTGGTCAAACGTCACGAAATGAATTTTAATTTTTTATAGCGCAACCTTTTTAATTTTCTATTAAGCGGTTCGCAAACACAAAGGCTTCTTATATATATAAGGTCGAGCTGTAAAAATTAGAAATCTTGCCAGTTACCATTGACCAGAATTGCTTCTAGTCAGAGCTGCCATTTACAGTAGCAACTGAAAGGCACGGCAAAAGGACAAGCAGACGTTAAAGCAAATTAAAATACTCTTATATGAGAAACAAAATATATAAAAGATTCAATAAAATAGGCAAAAGTTCTTAAATGTAATTTAATCAAAGTCCCAAATTAAGGGTCAAATTAAGTTTCTTATGAATTTATAATATTTTATTATCATTAAAGTTAATTTACGTTTTCATATACATAAGTAATAATATAAAAATCTATATAAATAATAACATAATAGTATAAATAATAATTATCCTTTAACATCTGTTTGTTAAATTCCCAAAAATATTCATCCGTAAAAATAGGGTACCCAGGCTAAGTGCATTGATTGTACTGTTAGAATTTTAACAGCAATTTGATGTACCTGGCACGAACATAAACAACGGCAAAAGGTGGCTGAAATTCCGTAAATACAAGCAAAACAGCCAAACGTAAAAGGGAACAAAGGAAAAAAAACAAAAGTCAAGCCATGAAAAGTGCATTTAAATTGATCACAAGAGAGAAAACGGAACAGGGAAAGGGAAAAGGTTGGGTAACTGTCGCAATGGGAGATAAAGTCAAATCAAATACACGTACTAGCATGCTGAAAATATGCAAAGTGCAATAACAAACCCAAGTAATCCCAAACACACACACAATCACACACATACACACAACTGCACACAACACAATTGTCGAGGTGTGACAGTAAAGAGAAAGAAAAGAAAAATAGTAAAAAAGAAAAATAGAGAAAAAGCTTTTTAGATTTATTTAGAATATTCGACAATCTAGTTGCTATAGAAATGGAATTGAAATTAAATTGATTGCAAATTTATATATCCTGTTTATTTTCCAAAAAGTGATGGACGTATTTCTTCAAATCAACTCGGGATGTATTCATTTATTTTAGAAAATATAAAATATAAATATAAATAAATTTTCCTTGATATTATAACTTGATTTATTACAAGTATACAGAGGACTGTATTTAAAGATCTACAGAAAACATATATACATAGATAACGCCTATCTCAAATATCGTCTTATCTCCCATGCTTTGCCAAATGTAAAACTTAAATCTTCTAGTAATCCTGGGAACTCTCCACATATCTTCCATAAGTTATTGAGATTAAATTAAATTAGATGAGATTACATTTGAGCTTAATTCATTATTAACAACGTTACATACTGCACATAGCAATCAATCTACCCAATGCCACATAGCTCATGCGAAATATCGACAGCAGTTAAAAATGTAGAACAATCTTGCAAATTTTAAGCACATTTCAGCTGCCTGTGAAAAAGTCGTCAGCAGTGCAAAACCGATTTGCATATTTTTACAAACACACTCACCGAGAAACACCCACACCCACACACACACACACACACACACACACACACACACACACACACACACACACACACACACACAGATAAGTATACTCATGTACAAGTAGTACAGTTGTGCAAACAATACAGCCACACATAACTTGCATACAATAAATCTTGTGACGTCTCAAGAGAAAGACGTCACGTAGCACACAAAAATGGTGGAACTTACTTTTCCTGTTTCCTGCTTAAGTTCCTGGCCCACAAGTGCCTTGTTGTTCCTGTGTGCTGTTTGTGCAGTGTGTCTGGTGAAAATCTCTTCGCTCGCTGATAGTTGGCAGCCACAGCAAACCAGAAGGCAACCAAG